CCTGTGTGCTCTCTTCTCAGTTATTTAGACTACATGGAAATCTATTGTCCATTTTTCAGACCAGTCCTTGAGAGAGGAAGACTCGGGATGTAGACCATATGTAAATTTATGTAGATTAATGCACACTAATGGTGTCTTTTCTCCTCTCCCCCATCTTTTTTTTAATTTATTTATTTATTTTGAGAGAACACGCACGAGTGGGAAGCGGCAGAGAGAGAGGAAGAGAGAATCCCAAGCAGGCTCCACACTGTTAGCATAGAGCCTGACGCAGGGCTCCATCTCACAAACCATGAGATCATGACCAGAGCCAAGGTCAATAGTCGGAGGCTTAATGGACTGAACGACCCAGGTGCCCCTCTCCTGTCCCTTCTATAACTATACTAGGTAAATAAGAGACACTGAATTAATAAAAACTTAAGGCATAAGTGCTAGATGTGCAACATTGTAGGGTTTTAATGAGGACAAAAAGAGATAAAGTGTGGGGCGCCGGGCTGGCTCAGAAGAACATGTAGCTCTTGATCTCGGGGTCATGAGTTTGAACCCCACATTGGGTGTGGAGATTACTTAAATAAAACTTAAAAGAGGTAAAGTGTGTAAAGGCGTTCTTCTCAAACTTGAACATGCTTAGGAATCACCTAGGAAGCTTGTTAAAATGTAGACTTCTGATTCAGTAAGTCTGGGTTGAGGCCCAAGATTCTGCATTTCTGATAAACTCCCACATGATTCCGATGTGGGGTGTGGACCTCACTTTGAATAGCAAAGATGTGAAACACTTAGCTTGCTTGCCTGGTACACAGTGAGTACTTGATCAATATTGTTACTAATTAACAGCAAATCATTTATGAGAGTCAAGAAGACCCTCTACCACCAAGCATCTTCACCAAATCTGAAAACTTCTGCATTTTTATTGTGTGGCATTTTTAAAAAAGAAATATCCTTGGGAGGACTTCTGCATGTGAATTAGTTTAATCAGATTACTGCCTTCCCAACTATGTTAAAAAGCAACACTAAAGGATCTAGAATTGTTTGTTTGTTTGTTTGTTTATTTTGAGAGAGCAAGAGAGAATGAGAATCCCAAGCAGGCTTCACACTGCCAGCAAGAAGCCCAATGTGGGACTTGAACTCATGAACCATGAGATAATGACTTAAGGTGAGATCAAGAGTCAGACGCATGTTTAACCAACTGAGCCACCCAGGCCCCCCTAGAATTGTTTCTTCTTCTCCTCTTCTTCTTCTCCTCCTCCTCCTCCTCCTACTACTACTTTTTTTTTGGCCAGCTGTTTCAAAGTATAATTTATATACAATAAAATTAATTTTAAGTTTTGCCCAGTTTTGACAAATGGAGTTGATTGACACTTGTGTAACCACTACCACAGTCTGATAAAGAGCATTTCCATCACGCCCAAAGTTCCCTCATGCCCCTTATGCAGACTAGAGATGTTAGTGGGGAGAAGAGGAAGGGGGTTTCAGAATCACAGTGGAGGAAGACCAATAAGCTCAAGTTACTTCAGTTTTGCCTGAGGATCAGAAGATCACAGTCTTGCATCCTCCCTGCCTCCTCCCTCCCCACCCAGGAATGCTTTGCCAGACCTTAAAATCCCCACTGACTTGGATGTGTACTTGTAGCTCATTAATTCAGAGTGACCATTCATCCCAGTTTGCCCAGAATCTTCCCAGTTTTAGTATCCCAAGTTCTCGTGTTCAGACATCTCACCCCAGGTCCCAGACAAACCAGGATGGTACGTTGCCCTAGCTGTGATGTTTATGCCACTGTTTCTCAGTCTGAGGTTGCCATCTCATTTTTTAGAATCATTTTTCTTGTGTGAGCACATAGAAGGCACTCAGTAAATGAGTGTGTGGGTGGACACACAGATAAACCCCAAGCTGTAGGCAGCTGCGGATTCCTGGCCTGGAGAACAGGAGACCTGGGTTCTGGTTCCAGCTTTGCCGAGTTTGCAGTCATGTGATCCTGGGAAAGTGGCTTCTTACCCCAGGTCTGTTTTCTCCATGTAAAATAGGGGATCTGTAGCCCTTTCTGCCTCTGACACAGATACTGCTTCCATTTGTACATGGGGTTGTGTGCCAATGGCACTTCCACTCAGCTTGCTCGCTCTCTCCTTTCCTTGCCTTTTTTCTCCCTTCAGATATATATAGTAGATCAATAAATCATGTAAGGGCAGGTTGATAATGGAGCTGCTGATGGGCCAGGCATATGCAGGCGTATGCAGAGTGCTTCTGCGAGAGCAGTAGAGTTTGGACCTTGAACCAAGCAGCTGTGGCCGGTAGTTGGAGGATCAAGTCTATCTTCAGCTAAGTGTGTGTAATGACCCAATTCGCTCTTTGTGCATGCCTGGGAGAGAGGATGGTGGGCAGAGGGAGCCTGTTGTTTAGGAATTTTCCTGGGTGGGTGAGGGGATGCCCTGGAAAATAGGATAGCATAGGTTTCTTATCTATTGGAGGCATCTATTTTTAGCTGTGCCCAGGAAGCAGCGTCTCGGGGTCTCATTCAGGTTTCTCGCACAGAAGGATTAAAATCAGAAATACCAAGACTTGGGCTGAAACCTATGGCTGACTTAGAGTCAGGAAGCTGCATTCTGTTTCTGGTTCTGCCATATACCGTCTGTGCAACCTCTCTGAGCCTCAGTATTTGCCTCTAATTTTCCTTTTCAATGGAGTGAGTAGCTGCACTGCCTAGCTCACAGGGTGTTGTGATTCAGTGAGATGATACAGGTGGGAGTCAATGAAACTGACATCTATACAGGTGCCAGGTGGTATTACTAACTTTAGTCTTTGGGTCTGTTTGTGGGGGCTGACTTATGGGGGATGGGAATTTGGGGATTTTGTCTGCTTAGTTCTCCAAATAATGTCATTAATACCCTCTGACTCTCAATGAGATAGGAAGGTTTGAGGGAAGTACTGTTTCTTTCCTAGGAAGACACTCCAGCCTACCTTCCTTTTTGACAAAATTCCCGACTTTTTGGAAAGCTTTTCCTTAGCTATAAATTCCACTCCTGCTCTTACTTCCAAATTTTGGGGGCAGTGGAGCAAGAACTCTACCTGAGCCTCTCAGCTAAGCCCAGCCAGATACCCTTTCCTACCTAGAGTGGACTTTCTCATGTAACCGAGCATCTCCCTCTGGGCCTTCAGGCCTGTGAAGGGTTAAGTGAGCCACACCCTTAACAGGAACAGCCTCGGACTTTGTGCTGAGCAGCCGTCTCTGGCCTCTCTTGGCTTGACTGGCACAGGGAGCCTGAGCTGGAGGAGGCAGCACAGTGGAAGGTCAGAAGAGTGGACACTGGCAAGAGGAGGGCAACCTCTTTCCTGGCCTGCCCGACACCATGGACAGCTCCCAATAACGAAGGCATCTCTCCACCCTTGGTGCCTTGGAACTCCTATGCCCCCTTCCTGTCAAATTGGGATTTCATCCACCATTTTACAAGGGACACTGAAGTTACACCCTAGTTTGTTCCAGTGTTGGGTGAGTCTTGCCTTGACCTGTCACTGCTCCGCATCTTTTGGGGTGCCCTATCTGGGAGCTGCTTTGTTTTTCCCTTTCCCACCTCCAACCAATCACATTCCCACTCCCCTCAAATCCAAATCCAAAGAAGATGGCTTCTTCCAGCCCTATTTCTGTTTCTCACCCTTGCCTGCCAAGTTACTTAAAAGTTTAACTTCTGTTTTTTGATCTGGAACATGTGGAATAGTAGTAGTTTCTACTTTGTGAGGATACTGTTTGTAAGCACCAAATGAATTAGTATATGTAGTGTTTAGAGCTCTGCCTGGCCCATGGCACCTGATTGTTTGCGATTGCTACTGTCAGTATTCTTATTGCTTTCTCAGTTGTGTCCTTCCAGGAAGTGACAAGTGCTCTCATTTTCTGGAACTTGGGGGAGGCATAGTGAAGGCTGAAGGCAGCCTGTGTTCCCCTCTTGCCCCACCTTCAGTTCCTGCTTCCCTCCCCTCCCCCGCCCAGGTTCAGCATTGCTGGAGACTAGGAGGATGTGGCTCTTTTATTCCTGTTAGGGAGTAGCCCTGACCATTGTACTAATAATTCTGTCCTGCTCCAGGCCACCCCACCTACTCAGTCCCACAGGCAAGACTGAGGAGGGCTGGGCTTCCTCCTTCGGTTACACCTGCCATGTGCCCACTGCGCAGGGGATGAGCCCCACAATAACTCTGTTCCTCCTTGCCCACTCCCACCAGCTGCTAAAAAGCTGGGTGTGTCCCTATGGGGCAAAGTCCATGCCGGAAGGTTACAGCAATGGGTATAAAAACTGGAGATAGAAAAATAGATACATCCAGAGATCCTGACACCTACTTGATGTTGGAGAAACCAAACTTTTATTCTCTTCAGGGTATTCTAATCTTTTATGGAGGAACTTCTGCCTCTGTTCCTCTAACTCATCAACTTATCCCATTTAAAAGATGAATCTTGATGTGGCAATGAGAGGGATCTTTGGAAGAGCTTTTGCAATGGATCTGGGTGGACTGGGTGACTGAAATAGAAGCTGTGAGAGATAGAGAGTTGAGAAGGAGAACTGGGGGCAGAGGGTCAGGGAGTCTGGACCCTGGCCAGGGCCTCAGCGCAGGACAGAGCAAGTTTTCAGAGTTAACCTTTCCTCCCCAGCCCCCTCTCCTGCAAGAACAACTGTGCTTCCCCAGGTGCTACCTGCTGGGTGCCTTCCTTACCCTGGTCAAAGGCAGGTGGTCCTGTCCCACCCCTGCCCCACCCCCACCAGCCCTAACCCAGGGAGCAGAGGATTCTCCCCGCTGGGGAGAATTTCTGCAGCCTCCCACAGTTAGCTTTGACTAGTCCAGAGGACCCCTAGGTTGAGGATTGTCTCTAGGGCCCAGAGTTGGAGAAGGCTCTTTAGGTCCTTCTGCCCTCCTCACACACACCTGCCCCCCCCCCCCCCCCCCCCACAGTTACTGGCCCCTAAAGCAGAGCAGACTTCAGCAAACTGACCTCCTTACTCCCAGGATCAGCAGAACCTCTGGACATGACTCTCATGGAAGACTCTGTGGGGGTGGGGGACCTTGTGCTCCTGGAACCCCTGGAGGAGGAGCCTCTGCTCAAGAACCTCCAGCTGCGCTATGAAAACAAGGAGATTTATGTGAGTGCATATGCGTGCCCCTGGCTCTGGGTATGTGGTCAGAGAGTTCATGTGCTCCCACTCCCTTCTCCCCTCTCAGCCTCCCCTAACCCCACCGCTGCTCATTCTCTTTACCTTTTTTGGCTCCAGACCTACATTGGGAATGTGTTGATCTCCATGAATCCCTACCAGCAGCTGCCCATCTATGGTCCAGAGTTCATTGCCAAATACCGGGACTATACCTTCTATGAGCTGAAGCCCCATATGTAAGTAAAGGAACTGAGGGAAGGCTGATAGGGCCCTAACTTCTGACAGTGAGACACCCTAATTTCCTCGATCCTTTCTCCTGAAGGAAGTTCTCCGGCTTCCCCTTCCCCACTGGCCCCAGGAAGACCCTTCCTAGGCCTATCACTTACCTCAGTCTAGTCCAAGTGAGGAGGGTGGATGACTCTGGAGGCTGGAGATTGAGTGGAAGGTAGTGTCTTGGATTAGCCCCACATCAGTCTTCACCTGCTTCCTCCTCCCAAGCTATGCTTTGGCAAATGTGGCATACCAGTCACTGAGGGACCGGGACCGAGACCAGTGTATCCTCATAACGGGCGAGAGCGGAGCTGGCAAGACTGGTGAGGTGCCTGGCTTGGGGAGGCTGTGCAGTCACTGCTGGAACCACCCCCTCATCTCTTTCCGAGCCAGACCTGGTCTTGCCCCACCCCAGAAATTCCTTCCCACTTTTTCTGATTCTGAGGGGTATGGTGCTGGAATGACAGGAGCTAAGGAGAGTGGTGGGGATCCATGTGAAGGTTTCTCTTGCACAGAGGCCAGTAAGCTGGTGATGTCTTATGTGGCGGCTGTCTGTGGGAAAGGGGAGCAGGTGAACTCTGTGAAGGAGCAACTGCTTCAGTCAAACCCGGTGCTGGAGGGTGAGTATCCCAGTCTCTGCCCTCTCCACCCTCCACCCTGCTGGCCCAGAGACACTCAGCCCTACACCCTCTTACCCTGTTCTTGTTCAGCTTGAAAACTCTGAGATTGGCCTGATGACTAGAAGACGTCCTTCCTTCCCCTTCTCTCGAGCCCCTCTTCTTCCCTCAGTTACCTCACCTTCTCTCTCATCTCTGCAGCTTTTGGCAATGCCAAGACCATTCGCAACAACAACTCCTCTCGATTTGTGAGTGACCATCTCCCTGGCCTGGGAGGAGAGGGTGTGGGGGCTTTAGAAGGAGGAATGCAGCACAGACCCCTCCTGGGTGGGGTGGTGAGAAGAGGAAGCAAAACCTCTTTCTCTCTCTGGTCTCTGTAGGGAAAATACATGGATATTGAGTTTGACTTCAAAGGATCGCCCCTTGGTGGAGTCATCACAAACTGTACGTGTCTCCCCATTCTGCTTACCACCTCTCTCTTCTCCCCATCCCACAGTGTCCCTTTCTAGTGATTTGAAACCGTAGGAAGGAATAGTAGGCTACCAGGAGGCTTCCCTACTAGTAGGAACACCAGCGAAGAGGGCAAGCTTAGAGGGAAGCTGTGGAATCTCCCTGAGCTCTAAGACATTATTTTCTAATTCCCTGCCAGACCTGCTTGAGAAATCCCGAGTGGTGAAGCAGCTCGAAGGAGAAAGGAACTTCCACATCTTCTATCAGCTACTGGCCGGAGCAGATGCACACCTGCTGGGTACGTGCCTGCCCAGACACATGGAAGAAGGTCCCCAACCTCCATTTAATCCCTAGAACCTTTGGGCCCCTCTGCACCCCTGCAGCCCTCTTTCCCTGAGCCCTCAGGCTCCTTCTTCCTGCATCCCTCACACTGAATTTCATCCACTCATTGTTGAAAACAATCCCCTGACCTCTGTGTTCTCCTCTTTTTTCTGGGATTGTATTGCTAGGAATAAACCTTCTTGTCTCTTGACCTGCTCTTATTCCTCTGTCCTGCTTGGGTTCCTCTTTTCCCAGGCTGGCTTCAGAAATGGGACACTTATTTCCACCTACCATTCTTTCCTATCTTCAATTTAAGGGACTTAATCGCTAGCTCAGCAGAAAATCAGACAGGATATTTAAGTGTTAAAGAAATTTTGATGAGCAGTAGTTGAAGTTGTTCTGGGTCTACATCTGCCTCACCCAGTCCCTGTCCTTGATTTCTTCTTCTTAGATGGCTTGATGGAGGTTTCATGTATTCATTCATCAAATATCTCTTGAACACCTACTATTATCGAACATTGTGCTAGCCTCTAGCAATGCAGAGTTGAATAAGATAACATGGCTCTTGTCCTCGAAGAACTTAAGGTCTTCTAGGGATGACAGATATGTTCAATAGGCCTGTGTGGGTGGCTGTAGGAGCAGAAGGCATGGAGACCTCTTCCTTGTCCTGGGGAGCCCTGGGTGCTGGATGGGCCTGAGGTGGTTCTGGGTGGGCATCACTGCAGTCTGGTGGGACTTCGGGCCCTGCCAGAGTTTGCCTCCCAATGCCCCCTCTAGCTGTGAGCAGTGTGGGTGTATGGCCCCCAAGGACCTGTCCTTTTGGTTCTTGGTTATTCTCTGCTGGACTTGTGCCTATCTCTTTTCCCCTCCTAGGGATCTCCATGGTTCAAGAGCCCCCACAGGTCTCATTATTCCTTCCTAGCTCAGTAGTCTTGGTTGTGCTCAATTTGTTCGAATCATAGGCACCAGTATCTTATTCTGTCTGACTGTTACCCATTGGCTTAAGCTAAGTCTGGACAGGGCCTCGCTGGTGTCATCATCCCAGGGCCTTTCTGACTCATTCTTTGTCCACCTTTCTTTAGCAGGTTCCTCTTTCAAAATCTGTGTCTCAGGGGAAGCTGTCATTAAACTCTAGTTTGAGGGACTTTCCCTGATTCTCAGATCATTTGAATAACTGATCATTGATATCCCTCAAGCTCCATGCTTAACCTACTTCTTCCCATCTCAGGTGAACAGCTTGGATCATAACCTTGACTCATTTATTAAAAAGAAAAAAGTTTATGTATGCCAAGCAGGCACACAGAAAACAAAGATGAAAAACACAGTCCCAATGTGTTGTTCATTTGTGGGAGAGACAGAAAAAACAAAACCTAGCCCATGTGTTATGGACTGGGATAGAGATCCACCATGGGGGAACACAAGAGAGCCTTTTGGCTCAGCCCCACAATGTCCAAGGAAAGTTTCCAGGAGAGGGGTCAGGATTAGGGAACATAGTACCTGCAACTTTGTTGGTGCTTACTGAACAAATAATGAATGAGCCAACCCAGGCCTAGGGTGAGGTGTTGAGGCTCTGGGTGGGTGGGAGATATGTGCTCACCTGTCTTTCCTCTCTGAGCCACTGAGAACTGAGTAGGATGGAGGGTTGGCTTGTTTGTTTTTATTGTTGAGAACCCTGAGGATGGGAAGAAGAGCAGAATGAGTCTTTTCTTTCATCAAAGTTAGGAAAACCCCCACAATTAAGAATACCCAAACTCTAAATACTGCTTGAAAACTTAGTCTATTATAATGGGAATTAATGATCCCAAAACAAAGGAGGCAGGGGACGAACCGAAAACAAAAATGGCTCCTTCGAATAAATGAGTAAACCAAGCTAGGGCAAGGGCTGTGAGAGTCAAGGCCGGAGGACTCCTGAGAGCTTGGGTACTAACCCTCCTCCCAAGCACTTTAACGTTTTCTAGTTGCCAAAGGATATAAAGTACATGATTAAATGCTAACTCCCCATGAAATCATTGCCTTCCACATTCAGCACAGGGATCCAAGCCTGCTTTGTTTGATGGGAAAGGCCACTACAATTTACTGGTCATTTAAAAGTAGAATTTCTGTTGCCTATAAGAATTAGAGGGAGGTTTATACCCTATGATGCATATAGACAAAAAACCTATCAAAATTCATTATAACTAGTTTGTGAATATAAAATGAAAGCACATAGTTAGAGTTGGTGACTTTAAAAAGATTGAATGTTGAATCAGATTCTCATACTGACCCTTGCAGAGGCCCTGAAGCTCAAGCGGGACACAAGTCATTATGCCTATCTGAACCAGAAAGTGTCTAGAGTTGATGGCATGGACGATGCCTCCAACTTCAAGTCTGTACAGGTGGGTGCCCAGGGTGGGCCTTAGGCTATCCCCTGAGCCCAGGCTTTGGCTTTGAGAAGGGAGGCATTGAGCTGGCACCACAGTTCAACTTCTCATTTCTGCTATCTCCTCCAGAATGCAATGACTGTGATTGGGTTCTCGGAGGTAGAGATTCAACAGGTGCTAGAGGTGACGGCCCTGGTGCTGAAGCTGGGGAACGTGGAGCTAGCAGATGAGTCCCAGGCCAATGGGACATCAGCAAGTGGCATCTGTGATGGGAGAGGTCTGTACCGCCCTGCTGGTACCCTCTAAGCCGCTCCCTGAATCTCCTACTACAATTTCTGTTCGTCCACCATCTGCTGAGTAACTGACTTCATTCCGATTCAGTCCCACTCAGCCATTCCTGAGTTCTACCCCAAACACACTCATTAAGAATTCCTAGTGAGGCATTTTGGAGTGAGGTTATGAAGTTAGACCTTGGTTCTGACACATCTCTGAGTCTAAGTGGAGTCTTTGCAAAGAATTTCAGGAGATTCTCCTATTGAAGTAGATAATGCAGGGGCACTTGGGTGGGTCAGTCAGTTAAGTGTCTGACTCTTGATTTCAGCTCAGGTCTTGATGTCAGGGTTGTGAGTTCAAGCCCCACGTTGGGCTCCACTTTGGGTGTGAAGCCTACTCAAAAATAAAATAAAGTAGATAATGCATTTAAAGTGTCCGCAGCTCCCTCTCCTCTCCCCAGAGTTTCCTCTTGGGCCATGTTATGGATGGGCTGCAAGGATATCCCCAAGACCTTGGGAGACCAGTCTCCTAGCAGTGTCACTTCTCAGCCCTCCCTCCCTAGGAGATAGCTCTCTTTCAGGCCATGTTGTATTTCCTCATCACTCCAGGAGTCCAGGAGATTGGGGAAATGATAGGTTTGAATTCAGAGGAACTAGAGAAAGCTTTGTGCTCAAGGACCATGAAAACAGCCAAAGAGGAGGTGGTCACTACACTGAACTTCACCCAGGTAAGGGCCCTTTGGGAGGGGGCTGATTTTGAGACTATTCTGTGGCTGCCATCCTAACCAGCTGGCTCTGCCCGACAGGCTCAGTATGCTCGGGATGCTCTGGCTAAGAACATCTACAGCCGCCTTTTCAACTGGATAGTGAATCGAATCAATGAGAGTATCAAGGTGAGAGATTGCTCTCCTCCCTCAACACTCTCCTGTCTGCCTCACTTTTCTTGTCCCAGTCACCATCCCTATACTTCGGGTTCTGAGATGAAGAGAGTAAGAAGGATGAAGGGTAAGGTACAGTTCCTTCCAATAGTGTGTTGTTGTGGAAGCATCTCTGGTTTTTGAGTTTGACTGTCTGGATCCCCTGCTTACCAGCTGTGTGGCCTTTTAGTTTCACAGAGATTCTGAGCCTCAGTTTCTTGATTTGGAAAATTGGATGCTAATGCCTACCTCCTTCATAGTGAGGATCAGACAAAATTATGGACATGGTTACCATATAACCCAGAAATTCCACTCCAGATATAGATCCAAGAGAATTGAAAACAGATGTTCACGTAAAAACCTGTACCCAAATGTTCATAGAGGCATTACCCATAATAGCCAAAAAGTGGAAACAACTCAAATGTCCATCAGTTGATGAATGGGTAAATAAAAGTGGTATATCCATACAATGGGATATAAATAAATAAATAGGCCATAAAAAGGAATGAAGTACTGATACATGCTCAACACAGACAAATCATGAAAACATTCAAGTGGAAGCAGCCAGACACAAAAGGTGATTCCATTTATATGAAATGTAATAGGCAAATCTATGGAGAGGGTGGTAGATTAATGGTTAGCAGGGGCTTGGAGTGGAGGGAGAGGGGAAGGTGGAATGACAGCTAATGGGTATGCATACAATATTTCTTTGGGGGATCATGAAAATGCTCTGGAATTAGGTAGTTGTGATGGTCATACACTTTTTTTTTGTTGTTTATTTTGAGAGAGTGGGGGAGGAGCAGAGAGAAAGAGGAAGAGAGAGAGAATCTTAAGCAGAGCCTGTGCTGTCGGCGTAGAGCCTAATGCAGGGCTTGAACTCATGAACTGTGAGATCATGACCTGAGCTAAAACCAAGAGTTGGACACTTACCCGATTGAGCCAGCTAGGCACCCCCATATGCATTTTGAATATACTGAAAAATCACTGAATTGTATACCTTTAAAGGGTAAATTTTATAGAATGTGAATTAGATAAAAATAGAGCTATTATTTAAAAAATTTTGTGCATGAGGGGTGCCTGGGTGGCTCAGTCGGTTAAGCATCCGACTTAGGCTCAGCTCATGATCTCACGGTTTGTGGGTTCGAGTCCCACGTCAGGCTCTGTGCTGTCAGCTCAGAGCCTGGAACCTGCTTCCGATTCTGTCACTCCCTCTTTCTCTGCCCCTCCCCCACTTGCAGTCTGCCTGTCTCTCTCAAAAAATAAATAAACATTAAAAAAATTTTTTTTAATTTTGTACATGAAAATGCCTTCAATTCAGAAGCTATTATGGAAAGGCAACAGGGGAAAATGGGATTTAAAAACACTTAGCCCCTTTGAAATTTGATCTGTCCATCTGTAAAATGAGAATTATCACACCATATAGGGTTATCATGAGGTTTAATGAAGTAAGAACATAGAATTTTTTCTAAATTGCTCTACAAATGTACGAGATGATTATTTTCCTCAGAAGATTTTAAAGTCTTTCTACCTCGTCCCCTGGGAGCACCATCCTGGAATCTGCTTACATCTCCCTCCTTCTCTCCTCCCTCTGCTTGGCCCCTAGTGTGTAGAGGAGGAAGGAGAATAAAATCACAACTGGTCAAGCTCACCCGAGTTCTGTTTGCCCTCTGCTCCAATCACATCCGCCCCAGAAGGGCCTGGCCTGGTGTGCAGAGGGGGCCCGTCCTCAGATTTATCTTTCCCTCCTCTTCAGGTGGGCAGTGGGGAGAAAAAGAAGGTAATGGGGGTCCTGGATATCTACGGCTTTGAAATTTTAGAGGTGAGAGAGCTTCCCCCAACCGCAGCCACCCTGCATCCCTAGGGTTCGGGTGCGGAGGCTCAAAAGGGAGGGGCTTGCGAGAGGGGAGGCGTGGGGCTGAGAGGGAGGAAGGGTCTTGGACTGAGCTGCTCTCTCTCTAACCTGGGTCCCCTCCTTCAGGACAATAGCTTTGAGCAGTTTGTGATCAACTACTGCAATGAGAAGCTGCAGCAGGTGTTCATCGAGATGACGCTGAAAGAGGAGCAAGAGGAATATAAGAGAGAGGTGCGTGGAGCCTTCCCTCACAGCCCTTCTCCAAAGTGACGCTGGTGTGCGCGCCACGTCTGTCTTTCTCCTCAATCCCGGTTTCCTCTCACTCGTGCCCAGATGGGAACACAAAGGACAAAAAGTTCCCCTTTCACTGCTCAACAGTGCAGCATTATCAAGAAGCCCTAGTTTTTGCTCTCCATCCCCCAGTCCCCTGCTCCCACCCCAGGCCGTGCCAGCAAGGGGCAGACTGATGGAAGGCTGTGTGGGGGGAGTCCTCACGAGGGTGAAGTGACAGCTGTGCGTGGCCTGCGGCACACTGTGAGCCTGATTTAGAAGGGACATTTCTCCCAGGCTTGTCACCCCACCACATCCATTTTGGTGCTCTTCTCTGACACCTCACAATTCTTTGTCTCCTCGGGCCCTGGCTGATGTCACCATCTCCTCATGTAGCACCCTGATCCCAGACTTCCTCCCCAGAAGTTCCCCATGGCTCAACATTTCCACACTCCTTCCCCTGTTCAGCAAGAAGGCTTGCTTTCTATGGCTAGGTGTTAGAAAAGCTATCTGATTGAGCTAATTCCCCCCAAAGTGTGAATGGCTGAGAGTCTCACTCATCAAAACGCTGCCAGGGATGCTGCCTGTGAGCCCTTGGGAATCTGCTGCAGCAGAATTTCAGACAATGTGGTCACAATGTGTGGGAAAGGTTTTTTTTAAGTTGTTTTTCGTGTTTTTATCTTAAAATTTTAAATGATCAACTAGAGAATAATTCCCATGCCTCAAAATTCAAAAAGCTTAAAAAGGCATATAAAGAAAGGGCTCTCTCCCAGCCCATCCCCAGCCTCTTAGTTCTCCAACCATCTAGAGGCAACTAAAGTGGCCCTCTTTTCAGAGGTCTTTTATGTGTAATCAGGCAAATGTAGAAGTTTATTTTCCCGCAGAATTTTTTTCAAATGGCAGTGAATATGCTCTGCTCTACCCCTTGCTTTCATCAATTAATGAGATCTTTCCATATCGTATATAAAGATGCATCTTTACAGCTACACAGGGTTGTAAGGATATCATACGTCATTTAACTAGTTGGGGAAAGTATTTTGGGGATGAAATGGGAAGGCAACTACTTAATTCCACTCTACATTCCCTGAAGATCTGTGAGGGGGTGGGAGAGTATTCCCCAGCCACACCCCCACACCTGGGAATGGTCTGAGTCTGGGAGGGCTGGCCCTTGGGTGGGATCAGAAGCTATCCTGTCTGCGGCTACCCCTAAGTGGGGAACGATTGTCTTTGGGTCTCCTTCTGTACCATTCTTGCTTAAAACAAAAACGAAAACAAAAACTATACAGTCCCAAAGTATCAGGTAGATTAGTAGTTCTTAAAGTGTGGTCCTGGACCAGCAGCATCCCTGGAAAGGTGTTAGAAAGGCAGGTTCCTAGGCTCTATCCCAGACATGCTGAATCAGAAACCCTAGGGATGGGGCCCAGCAGTCTGTTTTTACAAGCCCTCTAGCTGACTGCCATGCAAGTTTGAAAAGCACTGATGTAGGTCTTTGAAGATGTATCAAGTTAGGTTTGTTGCTTGATGAAATTCACTCATGTGCTTTGGTTTTATTGGTCGTTGCCAGAACAGTGTGGCCTTTGCTCTTGCACATGCTCAAGGATCCTTCCTCACTCCACAGTGGGGCAATCCCTACCCCGATCTTCACCCCACACCACCTACAGGGCTCTCTTCAGCATCTCCCCCTCTCTCACAGCTGCTCTGGGTCCTTTCACGTGTCTCCCACCCCACAAATTCTCCATCAACCTGGAGGAATGGGAACCTAAACAGAAGCCACACCAAGGACCCCTCTTAATTATAGGGCTTTCTGAGTCCTTTGTGGGTTGGGTGAGAGGGAGCCTGAGTCTGGTGAGGTCTTTGGAGACTTGTCTTGGACCTGCTCTTGTAACCTGTCATGCCTCTTCTTGCCAGGGCATACCGTGGACAAAGGTGGACTACTTTGATAATGGCATTATCTGTAACCTCATTGAGCACGTGAGTTATCTTTATGTTATCTCTGAGACCTCCTCTTCCAGACTGCCTGAATATCCTTGTCCTTCCCCCTCCCCTTGCCCCACTTGGTAAGGATGGTGAAGTGGGCAAAGGATGAAGGGGCAGAGGGACAGCAGTGAGGATGTGGACATCTTGGAGGATCAGGTCTAAGTTGGGCTCATCTTGTTCCCCTGACCAGAATCAGCAAGGCATCCTGGCCATGCTGGATGAGGAGTGCCTACGGCCTGGGGTGGTCAGTGACTCCACCTTCCTAGTGAAGCTGAACCAGGTCTTCTCCAAGCATGGTTACTACGAGAGCAAAGTCACCCAGAATGCCCAGCGCCAGTATGACCGCACCATGGGCCTCAGCTGCTTTCGCATCTGCCACTATGCGGGCAAGGTAACATGCAGGGCTGGAGGGTAGAAATGGGCCTGGGCATGGGTGGAAGGCAATGGGGGAGGACCTGTGGGGAGATGAGATCTGGGAATACTTCACAATGAGATTGGGAGTGCCAAGTGCTGGGACAAGGTCATGGACCCTCCAGACCCATAGCTATTCCTCTACAGGTGACTTACAATGTGAACAGCTTCATTGATAAGAACAATGACCTACTCTTCCGGGACTTGTCCCAGGCCATGTGGAAGGCCCAGCACCCCCTCCTTCAGTCCTTGTTCCCTGAAGGAGTTCCCACACAGACATCTCTCAAGCGCCCCCCAACTGCTGGAGCCCAATTCAAGAGTTCTGTGGCCATACTCATGAAGAACTTATATTCCAAAAACCCCAACTACATCAGGTGACATGCTGGGTACATGGGGAAATGCAGCATATGTGATGGCAGATGCAGGGTCCAGCACTATAGAACCTGTCCATTGTTGGGGGGAGGGTGTCTCTGGAATAAGAGTATCAGAAGGCCTTTCCCTCATAAAAAATGAGGAACTGAGAATCCTGTGGCAGGGAGAGCATCAGACTTTAGTAGGAACCACGCTATAGTGAGTGAAGCTGGGAAGGCCAGTGTGTTCACTTCCTCTGAAAATAACCCTCCAGAATAGGGTTATAGAGACCAGGATGGGTCACACTTGCAAAGGTGAAGCTCCTCATGCCTGTGCCTTGCACCTCTCCCCCCACCCCAAGGTGTATAAAGCCCAATGAGCATCAGCAGCGAGGTCAGTTCTCGTCAGAGCTGGTGGCCGTCCAGACTCGGTACCTGGGACTGCTAGAGAATGTGCGGGTGCGTCGGGCGGGCTATGCCTACCGCCAGAGGTATGGGCCCTTCCTGGAAAGGTACCGATTGTTGGGGCGGAGCACGTGGCCTCGCTGGAATGGGGGAGACAGGTAAGACTCCTGGGGGAGATGGGGGAGCAGGGAAGGGCAGTGCAGGGAACATCTGGGTGGTGGGGAGAACAGACAGTGCCATGTAAATTGCCAAAACTCCATGAATGGATACTTGGGGAAATGAACTGATCACTTTGCAGAGGTTCTGAAGTCTGTTCAAGCCCTGAACTCCTCTCCCTGGGTATAAGAGGTTGGGGAAAGGTGAAAGAGGATCCTTCTCTGGGATGCCCCTTGGTAGCTTTCCCCATCTGCTCCTGTAGGGAGGGAGTTGAGAAGGTCCTGGGGGAGCTGAGCTTGTCCTCAGAGGAGCTGGCCTTTGGGAAGACGAAGATCTTCATCAGAAGCCCTAAGACTGTGAGTTGGAGGGTGCACTTGTGTTTGGTTGGGGTAGGAGGCAGAAGAGTTGGAGGGTCCATGAGTGAGAGGCTGGGGCGGAGGGGAGTATCTATAGCTTGGGATGGATGGTGGGTGAGGAAGTCTGCTTTCTGCAGGGACTTTGTCCCTGGAAACTGAATCCTTGGGCTCCTACCCCACCCTGCTTGCATGACCCACTCTGAGTGCCTCTACCTGTAGCAGGACTCCTGAAGATCAAGGTGATGTGCCACTCATGTCTAAATTTCCAGACCTCGCACGTGCCTCTGACAGAGTTAGAATTCAGTAGGTTTCTGTTAAGGTGAATAACACTTAACAGAATGATAATGAGTGAGCGAATAAACGAATGCACTAAGAAGTCAATGGAATGAATAAAACACTGGCTGGGAAGCCCCTGGCACCTGGGCTCCAGGAGGAGAGAGTGCTATTCCCCTAGGCCAGCCTTTCCGCCCCACTTTCCACCTCTCCACAGCTGTTCTACCTGGAAGAGAAGCGGCGCCTGAGACTGCAGCAGCTGGCCACGCTCATTCAGAAGATCTACCGGGGCTGGCGCTGCCGCACCCACTACCAGCTGATGCGCAAGAGTCAGATCCTCATTTCCTCCTGGTTTCGAGGCAACATGGTATCAGTTGCCCCCTAAAGTCCCATCCCTTTCACTCCAATAAAAGAGTCGGGGGCGCCTGGGTGGCACAGTCGGTTAAGCATCCAACTCTTGATTTCGGCTCAAGTCATGATCTCCTGGTTTGTGAGATCAAGCCCTACGTTGGGCTCTGTGCTAACAGTGTGGAGTCTGCTTGGGATTCTCTCTCTCTGTCTCTGTCTCTGTCTCTCAAAATAAATAAATATTTAAAAAAGAGAGAGGGAGAGAGTGGGAAGTAGGAGAGGTGGTTCAGGGGATGGAGTTTTTTCTAACAGGCCTATTGTTTTTCTGCAGCAAAGGAAGCGCTATGCGAAGATAAAGGCATCAGTGGTGCTGATCCAGGCTTTTGTGAGAGGGTGGAAGGTAATGCGGAAGGGGAGAGGGGTTTCCTCCGCACACATGGGTTCTTCCCCCACATGGTTTCTCCTGGATTGTGCCAGCTGCTGGGAGGAAAGAGTAGCAGAAAGCAAGTCCTGCCCACACCCAGGGCATACCTCTGTGTGATGGCATGCCTGCATCTGGGTGTGTGTCTGGGAGTGTGGGTGCGTACTGGGGAGATGTGTGTATACACCTGGGTGTGTCCCTGACTTGGCTTTGAGTGCCTTCCTCATTGCCAGCTTGTCTGCCTTTACTTTCTCCCTCCAGTAGAGTCTCGGCACTTTATCTAACTGTGCTCTCTGTATGGTTGGAAAACAGTAGAACCTCTGTCTCCTTGTCTTCTAGGTCTGTCTATCTTTACTTTGGCTCCTTTCTCATGTATCCCTTCTAGGCCCGCAAGGATTATCGAAAATACTTCCGGTCGGGGGCTGCCCTCACCTTGGCAGATTTCATCTATAAGAGCATAGTAAGTGGTGAGGGTTGAGGGTGGAAGGTGGAGGGGAGGTTGTGGAGGGACGGTCAGGTTTGGAAAAGGAAGATGAGGGGTTTGAGAAGAGGTGATCAAAGCTTTCCCTGGAAGGGTTTCTTTGATCTGCATGTACTTAATTATTAAGTCCTAGGGTAAGAAGGAATGGGGCTTTGGTGCCTCAGGGCCCAGGGGCAGAATCAGAGTGCACTCCGGAAGGAGTGGACACTGTGGGCAACCTTGGGGCAGGAAGGGGTCCCAGCACACCCACTGACTGGTCCATGATGAATAGGCCCGAGAAGAGACGGGCTGGATGGCTAACAACAGTTTGAAGAGACTGAGCCTCATGGAAGAGCAGAGTGAGGACATAGGGTTACCTAACTCAACCTTCCAAGATCCATTTTACGGTAGGGGTGAAAGTGGAGGGATTGTATCTTTCTTCCGGCTCTTCTGAAGCTATAGCAAGCAAGTCCACAATGAAATCTCAGGAAAGATCTTAATTCTGGAGGACTTGGGACTTTTTTTTTTTTTTTGAACTTTTATTTATCATTTTCGAGAGACAGAAAGAGACAGAGCACAAGCAGGGAAGGGGCAGAGAGAGAGGGAGACACAGAATCGGAAGCAGGCTCCAGGCTCTATCAGCACAGAGCCCAACGCAGAGCTCAAACCCATGGAATGTGAGACCATGACCTGAGCTGAAGTCGGACACTTAACTGACTGAGCCACCCAGGTGATCTGACCCCAGGGTTTTAATGCCTGCCGAAGACTGCTTCCCCACACTGTCCCCCCACTCCCCCTAGAGACCTACTGGGGCAGGAGGGCTATATAGGGAAAGGAAAGACTTTCTAGATCTAGAAAAAACAAACAATTAAGAAAAGAAAACCTTCAGAGTTTCGACATCAGTTAGCACATGAGGGATTGGAGGAAATGCTTAGGAATGTTTATTGAATTAAATCAAACTAGACCTGACCAAGTCCCCTTGGGGACTTAAACCAAGGTGTGAGGTGATTAGACCAAGCCTGCAAGATCTTTGTAGCAGAGGAATCAAAGAGCTTGGATAGTTCCTGGAGAATTATAGCAATATACTGCATACCCTCCCTTTTCCCATTTTAATTTTTTAACCTAATGTGTTAGTAAGAAGTTTTCATAAAAATTCCAAAAACTTGGGGGCGCATGGGTGGCTCAGTCAGTTAAGTGTCTGACTCTTGATTTTGGCTTAGGTCACGATCTCACAGTTTGTGAGTTCGAGCCCCACATCAGGCTCCATGCTGACAGTGCTAAGCCTGCTTGGAATTCTCTCTCTCTCCCTCTCTTTCTGCTCCTCCCCCACTTGCTCGCTCTCTCTCTCTCTCTCTCAAAAATAAATAAACTTAAAAAAAAATCCAAAACTTGGAAGTACTCAAGATTAAGCTATTTTCTATACCTTCAATAATTCTACCCCACAAACAAACAGGGTGCTGGGTGTTCCCTGGGATATAAAGACTGGAGAGTCCTTATTCTAGATTGGGGGAGACTAAACAGATGCCATGGGTGATACTTGATCCGATCCTGGAACAGGAAGCATAAGAACAAAGCTACAAAGGGCATTTTTAGAAGTTTATAAAGGACGTTAGGAGAAATTTGAGCATGCATTGCTGTTGGATGAGTGTATCCAATTAATGTTTGTCTTCTTAGGTATGGAGGTGGAATTATGATTTGTGTAGGAGAATGGCCTGGTTCTTGGGAGATGCGTGCTTAAGTTTTAGGGAAAATGCCATGATTTCTCTAACCTACTTTAGGATGATATGGTAGCAAAGATTTATATATGTGTGAGTGTGTGTATGTATTTATTTATGCCCATTTGTATACATGTGTGCATGTGTTAGAAAGCCTGCAAATATGGCCAATTGTTAACATTATCAGTTGGTGGATTTAGGTAAGGAATATGTGGCATGCAGATATTCACTGTAATGTTTCTTCAACTTTTATGTAAGTTTAAAAACTTTCAAAATAAGACAGTAAGTTATATGAAATAAAAACGTAAGGCAGATTATGTCACTCTTCCCCTTAAACTCCTCTAATGGCATTCCATTTCACTCCCAATAAAAGCCAGTGTTCTTACCTCAGCCTACAAGGCCCTTCATGAATGTACCTGACCAACCAATCCTCTGATCTTCTTTCTTCTTGCTCGATTTAATCCAGTCTCAGTTTCTTTTCATTTCTGGGATATGCTACTGCTCATTTCTGGTCTCAGGGCCAGCTTTTTTGCATCATAGCATATATAATTATCTGACCTTACATATATGTTTGTTTGCTGTGGGGTTCTTCCCTACCCCCGGTAGAATATAAGCTCAGTGAGAATAGAGATTTTGTTTGTTCTGTTCACTGCTGTGTATCCATACCTAGAACAGTGCCAGGCACAGAGCAGACACTCAATAAATGTTGTTGAATGGCAGGGGAGAAAAAAACAAGAACTCAGCTTGGGATCCAGACTCCCAAGGACTCATTGTCCAGAAGAGGGAAAAGATTTCCACACAGATAATAGTAGTACAAACACAGAAGTATAGACAAAGTGCTGTGGGGCTTCAAAGAAAGGAGAGGCAGCCCTGGCCCAGGGAATCAGGGAGGGCTTTGAGCTGTGTCTGAAAGGATAGGTAGAATCTAGATGGGCACAGCTGAGTTGAGAGCAGGATGGGCTAAGGCACCGAGTGATCACGCCTGGGCTAGGCAGAGGGCTTGATGAGGAACACTACCTGAGAGGTGTGCTGGGATCATGCAGGGGATCCTGGGGCATGAGATTGGGCCCTAAATAGAAGGCTTTGAATGCCAGGTTGAGGCATTGGGCTTGACCGATCAGGGAAGGGGGGAGGTTTGGTACCTGTCCTATAGCCAATGCAGACAGTGGCAGCCAGCTGTAGGCAGCTATGAACTGAGACAATAGGAAGTCACAGGAGCAAAATACTGAGGCCAGTTTTCATCTCAGTTGCTCTCACCTCACTACCCTGGGCAGCAGGTCTCTGCTTGGAACTAACCCTTCCCTCCCCCCCTCCCAGTCTCCTGTTCACGCTCTCACTGCCCAGCCTCCAGTGAACACTGGACCCACAAGAGATCCAGGAGGTGACTCCCTTCTGACTCCTCGCTCTACTTGTTGCTTCTTACTCTGGGTGGCCTCCCTCCTTTCAGGTGGCAGGTCCTGGATGAGAGTTTGCCTGTTGGGAGGTCTGTCTTCTCATCCGTCCACTCCCAATCCCCCTGCTTCCAATCTAGACGCAGAAGTTCCTGCTGGGGCTGAGGAACAATTTGCCGTCTACCAACGTCCTGGACAGAACGTGGCCAGCGGCCCCTTACAGATGCTTCAACACAGCGAACCAGGAGCTACAGCAGCTCTTCTACCGCTGGAAGGTGAGTGGGGCCCAGCACGACTCCTCTCATTTGTCTTTTTTTCCTCCTCCCTCTGATTTTCATCTTCTGCCTCCTTCTTCCACTTTTTTTCTTCATGGTGAAAACAACATACATCACAAAATTGGCCATCTTAACCATTTGTAAGTCCGGTGTCATAAAGCACGTTCACACTATTGCGCAGCCGTCACCACCATCCGTCTCTGTATTTCTTTTTTATCAGCCCAAACTGCAATCCTGTACACATTAAGCAGTAACTCCCCATTCCCCACTCCTGTAGCCCCTGGGACTTATAATCGACTTTCTCTGTGAATTTGACTGTTCTCGGTACCTCATGGAAGTAGAATCATACATTTGTCCTTTTCTATCTGGCTTATTTCACTCAGCACAGTGTGCTTCTATTCAGGAAATATGTACTGAGCACCTGTCTAGAGTAGGCCTTGCGCTGTGTGCTGGCATATAGCCCTCCTCCTGGGGCTGACACATTTGATTGTTTCCATCCCCCTCTCCCAGAGTCCCTTTGAGGGGGGACAGTGCTCCTCCAGCAGCTGCCCTCTCTGAAGTGCCTAGAGCCTATTCTATTCCCTGTCTCTCCTCTTCTCCAGCCCCTGCCCTCCTTCTACCTCTCAGTGTTCTCCCAAACCCCCACCCCAGGCCTGCCCTCTGCCTCCACGAGCTTAGCCCCTGCCCCTCCCTCTCATAGTGCAAGAGATTCCGGGATCGACTGTCCCCAAAGCAGGTAGAGATCCTGAAGGAGAAGCTCTGTGCCAGCGAACTGTTCAAGGGCAAGAAGGCTTCCTACCCCCAGAGGTGAGGGCCCTGCAGACCCTGCACAGTCAGTTTCATCCAGAGCAAAGACAGGATCCCCCAGGTGGGATAGGGCAGTGGTCCCCAAACTAGTGTGCATCAGCACCACTTGGCAGGCTTGATAACACCCAGATTGCTGCACCACCCCCCGCCCAGAGTTTCTGATTCAGCAGATCTGGGGCTGGGGCCCAATAATTTGCCTTTCTAACAAGTTCTCAGGGGATGCTGATGTTGGTCCTGGACCATGCTGAGATAGAGGATATGGTGGAGCATGGGGGAAGGGACATGGGAACTCACTGTGGGGAGGCTCAGGGCCTTGGGGGTCAGTGGTGAGGAACTTGTCTCCACCACATACCTCCTGTGTGTCCTCAGTGTCCCCATTCCATTCTGCGGTGACTACCTTGGGCTGCAAGGGAACCCCAAGCTGCAGAAGCTGAAGGGCGGGGAGGAAGGGCCTGTTCTGATGGCAGACACTGTGAAGAAGGTCAATCGTGGCAATGGCAAGGTGAATGCCTGCACCCTGGACTTCTGCCCACGGCCTGATCTAGAGCCTTGGGACTGGTAGCTGGAAGGGTGGGGTTAATCTTCACCTTTCCTCACATTTTCCTTTTCTGTCCTTAGACTTCCTCTCGAATTCTTCTCTTGACCAAGGGGCATGTGATTCTCATAGACACCAAGAAGTCCCAGGCCAAAACCGTCATTGGACTAGATAGTGTGGCCGAGGTGTCAGTCACCAGCTTCAAGGATGGGCTTTTCAGCTTGCATCTGAATGAGGTATCAGAGCTCTGTGGGTGCAGTACCTCACGCTGGAGAAGGTGGTGGGCATCACGGGGCTGGGGTGGGCTGGAGGTGATGAGGACCAGACCTCTCACTCTGGGCCTTCAGTGCCTCTCAGGCTGCTCCTGCAGAGGGAAAAATGAATCCCTTCCCCACTTTTTCCTCCTTCCTAAGATATCATCAGTGGGCTCCAGGGGGGACTTCCTGCTGGTCAGCGAACATGTGATTGAACTGCTAACCAAAATGTACCAGGCTGTGCTGGATGCCACACAGAGGCAGCTTCTAATCTCCGTGACTGAGAAGTAAGGCCATGAGCTGGGGGTGAGGGCCAGCCTGGGGGCAGATGACCAAGCTGTTGGTCATTGTGACCGGGAAAATTCATGTAGTCAGAAAGTGAAGCATATTCTGTCAAGGCAAGGTTTGGAGGTGTTTCTTAGTCTCCCCACTCAGGTTCTCTGGGGCCCTGAGTCTTCTGACACGAGGGGAGGAGAGATGTACTTCCTTTAAGAAGGAGAATGGAAACCATCATGAAAATATGGGAGTAGAGATGAGAGGATGAGGGTACCAGCTTTACCCCTCTGTCTGTTTCCCCTCCAGGTTCTCAGTGAGGTTCAAGGAGAGTAGTGTGGCTGTCAAGGTCATCCAGGGCCCTGAGGGTGATAGGAACGGCAAGCTAAAATGCAAGAAGAAAGGGAGCCGTTGCCTGGAAGTGACTGTATAGTGAAGAGGTGGGGGCCTGATTCAGAGACAGCAGCTTCTCTGGACCCGTGCCAACCCTACCCACCCATGTTTGCAGGAGGATCTGATCGTGGTGTGGGGCTCAGAGATTGAGGAACCCTTGAAGAGGACCTTTCTTCTCCCAAACTCTTCTGGGCCCCTCTCCCTTAGAACTTATCCTCCCACCCTCAGCTGCTTTGCCCACTAATAAAACAAGTGACTTCCCAAATATTTGCTCAGTGTGGGTGAGTCCCTGATCACCCACCTTCACAGTGCTTGTACTTTGGCTACCCCACCCCCTTTCTCCTCCTCAGGTTCCTTGGAGCCAGCAAATGCAGATAATAAGAATGGAAAAGAAGGGAAATTGTCTCCGGGCTCCTTGACCGGCTGAGCTCTGGCGGAGTTTGGAGACACTGGGGTGGGGGTGGGGCAGCCAGCGATGGGGCTCAGGTCGCAGGTGGCCAGTGGGCTGATTCATTAAGTGTGTCCCTGGAGGGAAGAAGCGAGGATCCCTGTCTTGGTGGAAACTAGGATCCTTTGGAGATTTAGCCTAAAAAGAGGCCCCGGGCTGGAGGGCTCACGTGAGCTGAAGAAGCTGGGGAATGCAGCGTCCCCTGCACCCAGGAGCTCCATTGCCCCCTCCATCCCCAAGCTCATTGCTGAGCTTTGTCACATCTGCCCCCCCAACACCCCCTTCCTTTCCATACACCAGAGATGCCAGGCTGCTCCTGCCAACAGTTATCTTGCTAATCACTGTCCCACAGCTGGGGCCTGCAGCTGGTGGCATTTGACAGGGGGAGGCTCCCTGACCCAGACTCCCCCACCCCTATGACTGACCCTCTCCCCCTTGTCTTCATTTATTTTCCCTGTGTCATCACCATTATTTTCTTTTTCGATTTTCAACTGTCTCACACCATCTCGTTGTCCCCATTTCTGTGGACTCTAATATTAATACATAATATTTTGTATAATGCTTTAAATATCTCCCCTTTCCCTTTATATCTGTTTCCTCATAGACTGTGTTGTCTCAGCCTCACCCATCCTGGTCCCTACCTTAAGGGAAAAAGGAGCTCCTATGTTTGCAGTAAAACGTAGATATGTGCTCTGTGAGAGCTTACAAATGGCTGCCTTTGTTCCTGTCTCTGGATGTCTCTCCCTCCTTTCATGATCCCTACCTTCCTTGCCTCTTCCCTGTCTCCACCACTGAGCTCACTGTGCCTCGAGGCTGGGGTTTCCCTCCACCTCGGAGCTTCCACTGGCTTTCCATCGGCAGGCAGCTCACGGCCCCAGGTAATCATGCCGGCGGGAGACCTGATTAACTTCTCCTCTTGCCTGCAGATCAGTCTTGCTCTCTGAGCACAAGCCTGCGGTCTGGCACACCCTGCTCTGGGCTGGGAGAGGGCCCAGGGAGTCAGTTCTTCCCTGACGGATGGGGGGCTGTGCCCTGAGTGAGGGTAGCTTGGGCTCCCATCAGCCTTCCGTCACCCCCCCACAGCTCCCCCCATCCTTGACTTCTCAGAACCGGCGGAGGAGATCCTGTCTGGCAAGAGGGGGCTGGTTATCAGAGGCTGACCGCCCCCGCTCTCTGCCTCATCTCCTGCTCCCAGGGCCCAAATTGTCGTCACTTTCCCAGTGAAGTGTCTGGTCATTTTCAGAAGCAATTTCAGGAGAATATGCAGCTGCTGCTCCCCATCCTGCTTTTCCTTCCCCAGGGCTGAAGGCACTGTCAGCTCTCTGGACTGGGGAGGGGATGGGATGGGGGGGGGAGGGCTCGAGTCCTGGTCTCCCTCCTGTCCCCCCTCCATCAGTCATGTGCTAGTTTGAGGACGGGGCTCAGTTGCCCCACCTGTGCCATGGTGCTTTACAGGGCTCCATCCTGACGGGAGAGGCTGAGGTTCTGCTGCCTCCCTGCTCAGCCAGCCCAGCATTCTCAAAGTCTGGGTTGTTTTTCTGAGGGGCACAAGCCACCCTGGAGCCCCCTAACCCCCATGAGGAGCCATTTTAGCACATCAGCTCAAGCTAGGTCCTCCTGGCTCAGCTCATTTCCTCTGTAGGCTATGAGGGGCTCCTCGCTCTGAGGGCTGGCTTCCAGCTGGCTCCCGCCTGCAGGACTCTGCAGGATGCACGGGTTGCCATCCTTCCACCTCCAGCCCTGGCCCTTCCCTCTCCACCCCGCAACACCCCTCCCAGGATGTTGGAGGAGCCCCCATGCTGCACCCCAGTTGTGTATATGGTGGGCATATGCGGGTCATCTTGCATACACAGCATCCACTTCTACCCCCAAGAACAGTCCACAAATCCAATCTCAGCTCAGCTCAATGCAACACACATTTTCCTCGCCCCCCCCCCCACCCCAGCAACAAAGGGGAGGAGCTCCAGAGTGAGGGTCTTCTAGGGACCCTCTTCCTCTAGGCCAGTGATAGTTCTTGGAGATGTGGCTCAAATCAAAAGTGTCAAAGGAAAAAAACCCCTACGTGCCCTGTAGCTGCAACACCCACTTTACATGCCATTTGCATATGGTCTGTGGGCAAGATGAAGCCCTGCCTGCCAGAGCCCTTCAAAGCCTCCCTCCTTCATCACCTCTCTGGCTTAGTTTAGCATTAGCTCTTTCAAGTCTTTGCTACTCCCAGAGATCAAGGGGTGATCAGTTCTCCCTGCCATTCCCTTGCTCCCCCCATGCTTGGCTCCCGCCATCCTCTGTGAGATGCTGCATCATCAAAGGACATTATTCATGGTGAACCTTTGCTGAAGCCCTGTTTCCCTGATGCCAGAGCTTGGGGGCAGGGACGGGTGGGTTGGGGAGGAAGAGAGAGTCTGCCTCAAATGGGACCCAGGAGGCTTTAGTCCTTAGCCCTCAGTCTAACACTACTCCTCTTGCACCCCCAGTTCCCTCCAGCCTGCCTAGCTTGGACTTCCTTCTCCAGATTGGTAGGGGGAGGAGAGGAGGTAGAAGATGGCTACATCCAGTTGGGATCAGCACTTGATCTTCTCAAAGGCATGAACCTGCCATGTCATTTCCATGTAGACAAGCTCCAGCTTCTTACCCTCTTCCCACCAAAGGGTCCCAACACTGGGTCCTGGCCCATGATTGGCCCAGACAGCCCTGTAATTAGCTGGGTAATGGGAAGCTTTAGATGAAGCCCCACCAGCCTCTCACATAATAAAGGAGCCTTGAGACCCAGCTGCTGCCCTCCCTCAGGGGTGAACGGGGGGCCATGTGCAGGCAGACTTCTCTCAGTATGGACCAAGTCCTAGAGTGGGTGGGGTGTTGAGAGTGTGGAGGGGAGAGACAAGCATTTCAGGACCCTAGCAGCACTTGAAAGGCTCTATGGAGGATCCACACTGTGGGCTGCAATACAAGAAGGAAAACTCAGGGTTCCTTTTTTGTTTTATAAATACATTTTTATTGATCACCTATTATATGCCAAACATTATACAGCTAGGGATTCATGGTAAACAAAACAGACAAAAGTCCTTGCCCATGTGATGCTGACTTTCTGGTGGAGCATGGGGGTAGACAGACTATAAGTAAAGCATTTAGCATGTTGGATGTAATAAGTGATGAAGAGAAGAAACAGAAGGGGGATATGGGCTATAGAAGGGTGGTCATTTTAAGTAGGGTGATTGGGGAAGGCACTGGTGAATGGGGAGTCTTTTTAGTAAGTACCCAATTGCTGCGGTTCTCTTCTCAACCCACGATGTAGTAGAGTGTAAGTCCCCAAATCTCCAGGTCTCTTAGAGAGGGGATTAACTCTTCCTCTGGGAGAGTTAACTGCTTCCTTACTGGTCAAAATTCATAGCATTGCAGTAAAATGAAAGGGAAGTTTGGAGTGAAAAAAGCCCAAAACTGAATTTGTGGCTCTTCTCCAGAAGCTATGTGTCATGGAGCACAAGACTGAATTTTTTTGTAAGATTTAAAAAAAAATTTTTTTTTAATGTTTATTTGTTTCTGAGAGACACAGAGAGACAGAGTGTGAGTGGGGGAGGAGCAGAGAGGAAAGGAGACACAGAATCCGAAGCAGGTTCCAGGCTCCGAGCCATCAGCACAGAGCCCTATGTGGGGCTCGAACCCACAAACCATGAGATAATGACCTGAGCCAAGTCGGATGCTCAACTGACTGAGACACCCAGGTACCCCAAGATTTTTAAAAAATTTTAAGTAATCTCTACACCTAGTGTGGGACTTGAACTTACAACCCCAAGATCAAGAGTTGCATGCTCTACCGAACGAGCCAGCTAGGTGCCCCAAGACCGAACGTTTTGAGCCTCAATTTCCTCACCTGAAAAATAGGAAATGCTAAGAGTGACACATGGCTCTGAAGCTGCTTTCACTTCCCCCTACGCCCCACCCCTTTCCCTTCAGCAGCATCTTCTCCTTCCATCCCCACTCTGAATCTGACTCTCCCCTGGGGTTCTACCTTAGGAATGAAGTGAGCAGTACAAGCACCCTCAACAGAGTGGGCCATTGAAGGAGAGGCTTGAAATGTCTGGGGAGAAGATGCCTGGGCCACAGGGAGACAGACTAGAGTTGGGAAAACATGTAATTGTGAGAAAAAAAGAAGCAATTAAGAGATCAATGATGGGCTGGGCTGGGCTGGGCCTGGCCAGGCCAGGCAAGGATTTGGGGGCAGTTCGGCCACAGTGTTCTCTTCCTCCTTTCCAAGATTATAGCAGAAGGGATAGAAGTTAGAACTCTGAAAGAATGCAACTAAATCAGGCTGATTCAAGGGTCGAGAGGGAGTGGTGTGGGGAGACGCATTCGCACTGGAGTGCTGGGGGGAGGCAGACACGGGAAGTTTCTGCATTCAGTAGCAGGGGAGAAGTACTGACCCTCACTTGGCCTGAGGACCAAGGTGATGGGTCAGCTGCAGCTGGGAGGAGGACAGAGGGAGAAATGAGAATGGGACTGGATGCCAGACTCACCTCCCAGTGCTCAGGGGCCTGAACCTAGTTGTCCCGGTGGTGTGGAAGGGCCAGAGAAGCACCTGCCCGATTTTTTTCTGGCTTGGCAGTTGAGTCTGAAGGTTTAAAGGGTGAGGAGCTGGTGGGTGAACAATGCGTAGAAAGAGACTCAAGGACCACACCTATTGAGCTAGATCCCGCATGGGAATTTTGGGACAAAGCGTATACAACACCATTCCTTAGTGTGCCCAGCTCAGGGGCTGTTGGAAAGTGGGCTGCTGGATAACTCCAGCTGACTGCAGGGTTTGTGTGGTTGTGTGTGTGTGTGTGTGTGTGTGTGTGTGTGTGTGTGTGCAGCCTATATCCTCCTTTTTCTCCACCAGCCTCCCCCCTCCCCTCCAGCCACCCTGGGATTGGTGATTCACAGCCCCTCCTCCGGCTCCCCCAGACCCTCCCAGAGCCTTTATCAGGGAGCTGGGCCGGTGTTCCTGCCACATCCTCAGATCCCCTCCACTCCCTGTTTCTCTGCACGGAGGGAGGCAGCGGCACTACCAGCGTGTGGGGAGTGGGCACTGCTGCCGACCAGCTCCCTGATCCTGCTAGACCATCTGCCCTGGGCTCAAAGCTACTCCACAGGTAGGCACGAGTGGGAGAATGTCGGATGGACTGGAGTTGGCACCAAAGGACAGAGGCCAGAGTTAGGAGGGAATAAAGGAGCGGAGGGAATAAAGGTGGCAGCTTTTGATCTGGGAGTAGGGTAGTGGGAAGGTGAGCGGAAAGCACCGATGGGGTTTAAAAACCAGTAATGTTTGGAGCCTGCGGGTTCAGACTGATCCTTCCAATACTAGAAAGTTTTTGCCTAAGTCTGGGTTACCCAGTGCTGGAAAATAGAATCCAGGATCCCTCCTCAAGCTATGGAGACAGACTGGTGCGTGTCCCACAGATCTATCATCTTCCCTGGAAGACTAGCATCTGGCACTTTTGCAACATTGCTCATTGCCAGGTGCTCAGCCTGGGGAGATGTATGGTGGGGGAGTGGGGAAATTGAACCCAAAGGATGGCCCTCCTGCTCAGAGATACTCTCCCCAGAACAGGGCTTGGGGGGTGGATTTGGGGGCTGGGGAAGCAGGATCAAGCCAGGCTGCCAGTTGCATAATGTCTCCTGCATTTGCACCCATGCCGCATCCTCCCTGCACCCCTGTCCTGTCCCTCTGCCCTCCTAGGCACCATGAGGAGTGCCCTGCTGTTCGCAGCCATTCTGGCCATTAGCCTGGTTCACGGTTTGGGGGCTGTCTGTGAGGACTCACAGGAGCAGGTGGTGCCCGGTGGGGGCCACAACAAGGTAAGGCGCCCCCTCTGGTTGTGCCCACTCTGGCAGAGTCCTGGGCAGCGTCATGAGAGCTGGTGCCCTGCCTGTTCCACAGCTGTTGAGAGGAAGGTGGGGTGGAAGTTACCCGGGTTATCCATCAGAGGGTGGGTTTCTCTGACTCTCTGGCGGTCTCCCGTTCTCAGTGTCTCTAGGGATGCCTCTAAGTGTCTCTCTCCCTCTGCGTGTCTTTGATAGCCCTGTACCTAAAAAGTGCCCTACCAATACGTTGTTTGGTTGGTTGATCGGTGACTTAGGGATACTGTGAAGGGTAAGCTAGGGTGGTCCAGCTCAGTTGCTATCCTTCTACAGGGGGCAGATCCTTTCCACTCCCTGGATGGTATGAAATATACTCAGAATTTCTCTCCCAAATGGTCATTTATATGCTATTTTACCTATCAGTTACGTGTATTATTTTATTTTCAAAATTCAAATAAATTCCTATACGCTCTGCTCATCCACCCCCAGTAACCTCAGGTGTTCCTAAGCCCTAACCTCTTCTTTCCTTTTCCTCGCCCTGCTCTAGCCTCTGCTTAGTCAGGATAGGGGGTAAAATCTCCACGAAACAGACCAGGCCCCAATTTCCAAAGTTTCTCTAAGAAAAAGAACAGGAGTTGTCAGGGAAGGGGTACAGGGGGAGAGCAGGGAGGGAGTCTTTTCAAGGTTTTGAAATGGCAGCAATTACATTGGTACACATGCTTTTAAGATGATTATAGGTGGAACTCATTACAAATTCAGTGTGTGAAGTCTAACTGCCTCTCCAGCTCAGATCTGTTTAGCATCTCATTACAGGAGGTGGGCAGAATATTTGAACAATTTGGGAAAAGTGGATGCCTAGGATGTCGTGCGCAGGGCAAAGAGAGAAATCAGTCTTCATCCATATGTGTCGCGGGGCACGCCAGGCTGGCAGCCTTGCGGGTGGCGGCCATTGCACCAGATCCAAAAGACCAGAAGCAGTTCAAAAATATAAAAAATACACAAGGAGTGCCAAAAATGGGCTGGACACTGTGCTCAGAGCCCACAGTTCCAGCTGGAGATGGTCAGAATATCTGGCTGTATTTCTTTAAAGCGAGCTTGCTTCAAGACCTTGGGCCAGGTGGTCAATGAAAGAGAGAGGTTGCCATCTCACCCCTTTTCCCTGAAGGTCTGTGAGGATGAGGGAAATTGGGGTGAGATGAGGGTAGGGTATATGTGTGCCCGGGTAACTGGTTGGTATATGCAGGGTGCATCTGTGTAAATGTGCTGTGTGTGTGCCTGGGAGCCTAAGGACACCTGGGCTCTGGAGAGAGAGGCACCGCTGAGATTCAAGGTGAGAATCTCCAAACATGATCATTGTCATTGTTTCTCTGCAGCTGCAACTAACTGGCTGTGTGGTGTGTGCCCACCAACCATCCTGCTGTGCCCAGGCTGCTTAAAAAAAAAAAAAAAATCAGCAAGACAACGAAGAGCCCCTGGTCCAGAATGGGGTTCAGTTGTAGAGGATAGGAGGTGTCATTCTGAACACACTGTTTTCCAGGCAATCTAAATTCAGTGTAGAAAGGAGAGAGGGAGCGACAACCAGAGGCAGAAATCTATGGAGAAGAAAAGAGAATAAGAGGTGGTGGGAACCACAGGCGGAGAAACATCCACAAACGTACTGCAGAGTAGGGGAATTTCAGGATTGCAGATGCGCCCCTGCTGCCTACGGACACCCATCCCGAGGACTGAGTCCTGTCTGTGACTCAATCATGGAATACAGAGGATGCTTGCTCTGTCCGATGGGCCTTTCTTGGGAGTGGTGGAAATCATGGCTCACTCCCGTAGTGGGGCAACCACATCCTTGGGCAAACTGGTTCCTGATGTGCCAAGGAGAACAGAACCAATGGCCCTTCTCACTGAGAGGCGGCAGGAGATGGGAGAGAGCCCTAAGGGAAAGTCTCCTTTGAGCTTGGGAGACAGTCACCAACTGTCCCAGTTTTCCCAGGACAAGCGTAAGCCCTGAAAGCCCCACATCCCAGGGAAGCTCTTAGTCCTGGACAAACCAGGACACTTGGTCTGCCTACAGGGATGCCCACTGTGTTCTCTTTACCAGCGCTTCTCAAATCTTGCTGTGTATATGCGTTGCCTGGGAGCATATATTGTTAAGTATTTCTAACAAGCCCACAGCAGTGGTGCTGCTGTTCCGTGGACCACAGTTTGAGAGCCCACTTCTCTTCCAGTGTAAACCAGAGGAAATCCTGAAGGAAACAAAATGTCAGGTTTAGCTGTGATGGGCTCAAGAAGAGGTTGTTCTTTGTGGGGAGGGGTAAAAGGATTAGGTGTGAGCCTCAGCCCTCTTTGTTTCTGTCCTTTAGAAGGACTTGGACCTCTACCAGCTGCCTCCATCTTTGCTCCGGAAACTCTATGACAGCCGCTCAGTCTCTCTGGATGGATTGCTCAAAATGCTGAGCAAGGCTAGCGTGGGTAGGAAGCAGCCTTGGGGGAAGTGTGGTGGGGGGGCAAGATTCTGACCATTAAATAGGCTTGGGAGGAGCCTTCAGGTGGGATGGAGACTGGAGATGGCTTGGTGAATAATTGAGGGTTGTGACCTGAATCCCCTCTAACTGTCACTTTCCAGATTCTATTCCCTAGTTACACATTGTTCTTGCTTTCACAGATCCTAAGGAATTGCCACTTCCCCAGAAACGTGAGTAGCCTCTTGTCCCTCCCTGTCTCTGCTGACTGCTTGCTAGCGTTCCATGGGTGTGGGGCCCAGTGACCATTCTGGCTGGCCCCGTCTCAGCTGGCACAGACAATAAGCCAGCTGCAACTGTTCAGCCAGTCTTTCCTGGATGTGAGAGGTCACTGGGAACCAGAAGGAAGCAGGTGTGAGGAGTGTGGTGGACTTTCCCTTCATCAGCTGGTCATTGGGAACCAAGAGGATCTCTTGGTGGCTGTGAAGATTCTAAGCCAAGCACCTGTGGGGGCAGAGAATTCTTGAAGTGTGGAGGAGGGAGAGGTGGGCAGAGAGGGTGAGCTTAGGGGATAGCCTGTTCCCCTAACTCGGGGGACAAGCTGTGGCATGATAAAGAACCAAAGATCAGAAACCCGATTTCAGAAGTCTTGACACATCTCTCCCCCCTCACCCCACTCCCACTGCCCATTATCACTGTTGGCAATGTTGGTCCTTTTTCTACAGGTGACATGCACGACTTCTTCGTGGGACTTATGGGCAAGAGGAACAGCCAGCCAGGTAGGAGTGTGTGGAGGTACAGTGGGAGGGTTTAGGGTACTACTGGCAAAGATATGGCAGAAGTCAAGTGCCTCATATTCGTCACCAGAGGGAAAGACAGGACTTTTCTTAGCTACAGTGAGGGTTCCTTGGCCCTTCTACCCAATCGGGTTGGATCCATGGTCCAGCTCGCCCTAGGAGCACAATGGGGAGACCTTTATAAGATAGTTCTGCTGCAGCTGGGAAGGAGTTGGGGGAATCTGTTTCCTCCCTATCTCCCAAACACAATGTGCTTCTTGTTCCTGACTCTGTCTTCCAACGCTGTCTTTCATGGCTAGCTAGCCCTTCGCTGTTGGGTCAGGGTGAAGGTCACATTCAAAAACATCTCTCCTAACAACACTGTTTACTTTACCCCAGACACTTCTATTGATGTAAACCAAGAGAATGTCCCCAGCTTTGGCACCCTCAAGTATCCCCCCAGTGTGGAATGAGGTAAGAATTGTTGGTTAGGAGAGGAAAGGGACTGTGGGAGCGGGGAGGGGGGAATGGGGTTACCACAAAGGTATTTCCTCTGATGCTACAGGCATTAATACTCATAAATCTGCCTTAAAATATACTGCCAGTGCCCAGCACACTGTTGGCCAAACACACCATCACTTAGAGGTACATACTGGTCTGCAAGAACATGCACACTCACATGCACACACGTGCTCACACACACACACCCTTCTTTCTTTCTTCTTCCCCAGTATCATGGACCCTGGCTGACTCATGAGCACGCATTAGTGGTGGGGAATGGGGAGAGAGGGGCTTCTCCTGTGGCTTCTCTGATGGGCAACTTCTGTTGTTTGGACTCCATTCTCTTATTATCTACGTATAAGATGAAGAGACCATCATCTGAAAATTACAGGCACAATAATTACAATTATTACAATTCGTACGTAAAGTGTTCTGCCTCTTAGGTGGGCTAAAACCTTTCAGATCATTCAGAATCTCCAGTGACTGGGTCCGGCATGTAGTTCTTCACAAGAGTGCTTTAGGAAGAAATGCAAGGAACTCTGAAATTTAACAGGGTGTAACTAGCTTGGTTGCTTTGTGTAGCAAAATGGGTAAGAGCATAGCCTGAGTTTGAATCCTAGATCTGCAGCTCACTGGCTGTGTCCCCTTGGCCAAGTTATATAACCCTTCTGTGCCTCAGTTTCCTCATCTGAAAAGTGGGAGGGATATTATTTTGCAGGGTTGTGCTTTTGAGGATTGAGCGTAGGTAAAGTCTTCAGAACAGTACCTGGCACACAGTGCATAGTGCTGTGTGTTGGCTGTGTTAGGATTACTGCCGTCTGGGAGGCATGGGTAATGTCCCAGTGTCCCCCCTGCCTGGCTCTGGTCTGTCTGCCTAGAGCTGGCTCGGCTGGACCCTGGGCTTGAGTGGGCTGACAGATCTCTCCCTTAGTGTTCGAGTATGAGCGTCTCCCAGGGAAGCGTCTAGTCAAAACACAGAAACTACCGTGTCAACCCCATCTTCCCCCACACGGCAATAGCGGCCCAACTGATGGATTTCTTTGCATTCTGAAGAAAGATGGTGTGGGGGGAGAAAAAGAGAGGCATCGGGAAGCCTCTGTGAGCACAGAGAGACTCCTGTCCCTGTCCCTGTATCCCTGTTACCCGCAGTCACCGGTCTCAGGGGAGAGCAGAGGAGCAAGAGCTCTCGATGGCTCTCGATGAAACTGCCTGTGCATGGCTCTCTGGGCCCGGAGACTAGGTCTAGCCCCCCATTCAGTGTTGGGTGAGAGGGCACAAAGAGCCGTAATAACCGTAACTCGCTGATTACATGGTACTTACCGTATCATTTTGCTCTCATTAGACGGTTATTTCAGTCCTGCCGACCGCCAGATAATTATACGGGCAGCTATATCTGGATGACATAGTCTCCCCCAGCGTTATGCATCGGCCATAAAGATAATTACAGTGCAATTTTGCCATAGTATTTTATACAAATGGTGGAAACAAGTGCATTGTGGAAATCTACTTTTAATGCTCGCTGGTGAATCTAGGCTCTTTCAGAGGGGCCAGTCTCATAATTACAGCCTTCATAATGTCACCACTGATGGAGCATTCTCAACCTGTTAGGTGCCAGGAAGAATAGCACATAAAGTCCCCGGAGGCTGGCATTTAAAGGAGATTAGATGAGATGGATCAACACAGATCATTGTGTCATCTGATTTCATTCATGTGAAACTGCTAACAAAGGAAGTGATCCCTGGGCCTCTTCTTCCTCTGGGAGGTTTCTGGAAAGAGGAGGAGGGACTGGGGGACCCTGGAGAAGCATCAGCACCCAGGCACGTTGAATGGGGCTGTAGTTTGCCTGACTCATGGGATGCTGAGCACGGGAGCCTGCTTAAGATTCTTTTTCTCTCCCTTTGCTCCTCTCCCTCTCTTAAAAAAAAAAAAATAATAAGTAGCATGGTAAACTTGCAGCTGGGAAGGAACAAGCTCCTGCGGCTAGAAGAGTTCAGTCCTCCACTTCAAAGGCTACAGGGAGAGCTGAGGGCTGAGACTTCTGTTCTCTTTTCCTCCCTTACATACCCCACTGCTTCCCCGATGAGTGGTCGGTGGGAGTTTTACAGGATAGAAGATGTGATTTCATTTTTGCTCCTCAGCACTCCACTTCTGGACTCGTGGGCTGCATCATGAAGACACCTGCCCCCCACCTCCCAAACCCCAGCTGCACGTGCTCTATTTCCCTTTCTTCGCCCCCCCCCCACCTTGTAACACTCCTGTGCTTTGACTCCTTCCCCATCCCTCTACCTCACCGTGGTGGAGAAACTGCAGAGTGAGCACCCTCAATCCTAGTGGGCATTGACCCTAGATCCCCTTGGATAATGTAAGTGTCCTACATTTAAAACTATGACATCTCTTTCCATTCCTCAACAATAAAAGATTTTCACATATGACCTAGAGTGATGTATTTATTTGGCTGGTGGGTGAGTTTTTCTCTTCTTTGACTCTTCGAGCTACGTAATATACACATACATGTATACACACATACATATATCATATATAAATGGAAGCATCTTTATTTGCCACGCATATCAATTTTCCCAACAGTGCCTTCAGCAGTGCTTCATACAATTAGTATGGAAGATTTATTTAGTAATTAAAAAATAAATGAAGGTGCCTGGGTGGCTCAGTTGGTTGAGCGTCTGACTTCGGCTCAGGTCATGATCTCGCGGTTTATGAATTCCAGCCCTGCATCCGGCTCACTGCTGTCAGCACAGAGCCTGCTTTGGATCCTCTGCTCCCTTTCTCTCTCTGCCTCTCCCCTGCTCATGTTCTCTCTCTCTCTCTCAAAAATAAATAAACATTTAAGAAATAATAAATGAATGAATTTGGAAGATGGTTTCTGGTGGTCAAAGACTTTCACAGACTAGCTTCAGATAAAGGAAAAATATATTCTCAATGGCTTGTCTGTATTTCTAGGATGAGCCTAGGAGACATTAGTCCCTGCATCTGACTCTACTTAGAGAAGGAGAGGGAGGTCAAGGCTGTGCAAGGACTCAGCCACAGAGGAGGATGCATCTATTGAATTCTACCATTTTTCTGTCTCCAAATGTCGAGCATGGATCCTGTAATGGTGACCTATACACATCTTTTACAGTGGAGCCAGTGGTGGACAAGCAAACAACGCTTGGTCTTGCCAGGATGGGGTGTGGATGGGGAAGTTACTACGGAGGCCAAGAAAGAAGGGAGCAGGTATCTTCAGTGTCAGCTGGCCATTTCAGTTATTATAAAGGGAAAACATTTGTCTCAGACTCCTCTACAATGCAACTGACACCAGCCCCTGTAGCACTGGTCTAGCAGTCCACAGAATATGTAAGCCCAAGGATCCCAAGGAGGTGTACTGTACCCTAAGGGAACAGTCTGGGAGACCCTCAGGCTCCGTATTTTAGCCCAGTGCAGGGCCTGGCAGTACCCCCTGAACTACCCTGCTACAACATCAACGCTCCATTCCCCCAAAGCAGTGTAGAGACAGGGCCACGGAGCCAGAGGTCGCTTCCTACAGTTCCTTCACCCCAGTGAAAGTTCTCTCTTCCCAGAACCTTAATGGGGCAACTTTGGACCCACAGCTGAACGGCGGGGATGGGGGAGGAGAGAAAGCTCAACTCAGCATCCCTTAGGTCAGGTTTATTGCTACAGGTCAAAGAATGTTCTTACCCCAGAGTCTCAAGCCTTTCTTCAGTGACTCATCATGTTGGCTTTTCAAAATCATCTATCTAGGTTTTAAAGTGGGGTAACTTTTGCAGAGTCTGGGGAATTTATTTAGGTCATGAAAGCTTCAAGAGTTGTTTCTGCTCAGACTTGGGAGATGGGCGTGTGTGCTGAGATGACACAGTGCTTTGCCAAGTAGGAGCATAAATGCAGAAAGGTTGCTCTCTGGTGGGGCTGACAAAAATTGCAGTCCTTGGGATTCCAGGAAAAAGGAAGCCAAATTTTAAGTCAGATTCCTGTTTTTGTACTTGGAGAATGTGTGAAGGAATACTGGCCCTCCTCTTCCTGTTGTAAAGAGGTTGGTGCCTAAGGAGACCTGGCCAATAAGACCTTGACCGGATTTGTGGCTTCTCCACTTAGCTGGGTGTGTGTGTGTGTGTGTGTGTGTGTGT